GAACAAACTTTGGCAATTGGAGCGAAGAATGCTTGAAGCTATTCAGGCCATTTCTTCTGAAGTGGCTTGAATAACCTGTTTTTTTCGCGCGTGTATTGTTCTATTTGACTTTGTAGCGGAGTGATTAATATGTTCTACCCAACATATTTCTTTTTCTTGCATCACTGCAAGAAAATCTTACATGTTGTTTTTATCGAGCGAAGAAGCTAACTGCTTGTGCGATTACGAAAAACTCTCCAAGCATCCTTCGCTCCATGGCTCTCTTAGTCACAGCAGCGTTTGTTCCTCAGCTTCCTTCAGCGACTGCTCCACGCATTCGTATTTTACCGTTTTCAGTATGCAGACACTAGAGAGCAGAGCTCGTTATCCAGCTTCTTACAGTTGATTAGAGCTCATAAAAAATAAAAAAAACACCTGTAGCCAGCGTAAAGTGGCTCGCGCAACATGCTTATCAATCATTCGGACAGCTGCAACAATCTCATTGCGGTCAATTAATTTATCATCGTTGCGATCCACTTTGCGCATTATGTCCTAAAAAGAAAAGATCACACCGTTACAATGCAGTGATACCAACGGGCGCAAATCGCTGTTATCTGAAACCGTTTGCAAATCAATACAGTTAGATTTTTTTTATTTTCTCCCTGTTTTTTTATCTTGCCTTATCAGTCATATTCGAATTTCATATTATACTTTAAAATACCACAACCATCACACCGACATGTTCTAGTAGTGGTACTTAAGCAGAATGTGCGCAATTTAATGGATCGCAACAGTCCTCTTCAGAATTATTTCATTTTTATGCGTTTTTGCATAATATGCAAAAACACATATTATGACGATCCCGGTGTGTGTGTGTGTATATGTGTGTGTGTGTGTGTGTGTCCGCATGTTTCAACTCGGCACCCAAGCAAGCTCCGACGCCAAAATTTTGCGAGTGGGTCCCCCAGCCAAGTGCCACCCCACGACCGCGATACCAACCCTCAAGCACGTCTAGGCTCCGCGTAT